GGGGGGGGACCCAGACCTCCGCGCCTCCCACCTCCCGCCCCCCGCCAGGCCTGGCGTCCATCCCGAATGGGGCTGGTGACCTAGCGCCAGTTCTAAGTAAGACTGGCCAGGGGGGGAAAAAAAGCTCAGATGGAGTTGTTTGGTTTTTAGTTGTTTGTGTTTTTTTAAGTTTATTTTTTTTTTAGACTCCAATAGCTAAACGGTATGCATCATCATAATGAAAATTACAAGGACACTGAATACCAGGTTCACATATCAGATGGGCAAGTGGCAAGTCATGAGCACGCTGCTCTGGGAAACAGGCCCCAGCACGCACCGTCGGAGGGAGTGTCGCTGGGCCCAGGCTCCCCAGGGAGCGACTTGGTTAATACCCGCCCAAGTGGCAAGTGCTGAGCCCAGGAGACCTAGCAGTTCCACTCGTGGGAAAGCATCCTGCAGGAACTCACGTGCACACAGAGCAGAGCCCATGCCGGGAGCATCCTTCCATGTGCAGCGGGAAAGCAAAGGATGCATTCCGAGCATAGCTTAGACGTTGAATCAACCGGGTTCGCAGGTAGGTAGGGTGCGAGCAAGGACGGCACCCCGGTTTCTGGCCTGAGCAACTGAGCGGATGGTGGTAACTTCTTGAAACAAATTGCCTCTACCTCCTTCCCACCAGGTGAGCGCCTGATCTCCAGGACAGGGCTCGGTGCCCAGCACGAGGGAAACACCCCTAAAATATCGGTGGGGCGAATGAAATGACGGCCCCCATCGGGTGGAGGTGACTGCAAAGTGAGTGTGTTCCTATGACTGCAGCTATGCATGCAACCAGTGGGGTGTTGGGGTGTTATTGGGGGGAATGCACTCCCTGTGACTGGAGGGATTTAAGCAAAGGACATGTGTCAGAAGGGCCTTGTATGAGAGGACCACCCAGGACGGGATCTCTGAGGTCAAAGCTATCTCTAAGATGCTGCTTTGCAATTATTGGTCAACACTATCCAACTCCATCAATGTCAAGAGGAGAGAAGAGCCCCGCCAGTGTGGCTCAGAGTTTGAGCGTCAACCCATGAACCAGGAGGGCCCGGGTTCGATTCCCGGTCAGGGCACATGCCCGGGTTGCAGGCTCGAGTCCCAGTTGGGGGTGTGCAGGAGGCAGCTGACCGATGACTCCCCCTCATCATTGATGTTCCTATGTTTCTATCTACTCCCTTCCTCTCTCTAAAATCAATACAATATTTAAAAATAAAAAAGAGAAAGAAAAAGAGAGAGAGAAGAGGCCCTCGGGGACCAGCCCTCCTCTGCTTTCCAGCATCTGTGAGCGCAAGCATCCCATGAGCCTGAGCAGAGCAGCCGGGCGGCCTCACACTCACACACTTCAAACGTACACCCTTCAAACACACACCCTCCTTCCCAAAGCAACTGCTCTGAGCACTTATGATCTGTGAGCAAACAGCCCTGCCCAGGGACCAAACAACCCGCTTCTGTTTACAAGCCAAAGGCCAAGGGCCAGGGGCCAGGGCTGGAGATAAATATGCTCTCAGTTTAAAAAACACAGAAGTGTTTTCTCGCCAAAACCAAAAAGGTGGGTCGGATTCTGAGGTTCTTTTATGTGATTTTTCTCACTTCGGTTGGGGCTTCAATTAACCACTGTCCTCCCTGATGTCTCTGGCGGCTCCCTACCCTAATTTCTCCTTCTCAGGCGCCCAAAGCCCGGCTCTCGGAACCAGCCAACGGTCTCCTGCTGGCAGCTGAGACATCCCCCTACTGGGTGCTGCACAGGGAGATTGAAGCCGGGACCTGGATCCAAGCCCCAGCTTCGCATCTTACCTGCCTGATGACCCCTGCCCAGCTGCTAGTCAGACACCTTTGTTTTCATTTTTTCTTTTTTAAAATATATTTTTATTGGTTTTAGAGAGAGGAAGGGAAAAGGAGAGAGAGAGAGAGAGAAACATCCATGATGAGAGAGTCATGGATTGGCTGCCTCTCTCACACCTCCTACTGGGGATCAAGGAGCCTGCAACCTGGGCATGTGCCCTGACCGGGATTCAAACCTCGATCTCCTGGATCCTAGGTGGATGCTCA